CTCGGGAGCCAATGTATTCAGACGCCGCGCCCTCGACATTCAGAAGTCACGCTCTCGCTCTGGATTTCCTCACGATTGATTTGGGAAACAAGCTGTCGCTCGAGACTTCCTCGCGGGTCACGCAGGACGCACGCTTCAGCAACCCGCATGCTCGACCTGACCGCCCGGGCCCTCCTAACCGACCCGCCTGGTAGGGTCTACCCATCCGATCTGCCCGCCTGGTTCTGCCACGTGTGTTTCTGCTCCTAGCCCCCCTTCTGCTACTCTCTCTCGTGTTCCATCCTTCTCCCTCCCCCTTGTCCCTTCCTTCCATCCGTCCTCTCTTCCCCTGCCTCAGGGGCTGCACGAAATACACGTTGCAGGTAAGAAAGATATACCCCAAGGGGGTATGGTCGAAGACGAAGAGGGCGGGTATCGAGGGTTTGGAATATACGTGTTGAATGGCACGCGAGCAGGTAAGAGCAAACAGTCGCAAAATGACTGTTGTGGTTGTTGTTGCTGCTGTTGTCGGTGTTGTTGTTCTCGTTGTTGTTGGTGGTGTTGTGGTTGGTGTTGTTGCTGCTGTTGTTGTTGTTGTGTTGCTGCTGGTGATGGTGGTGTGTTTGGTGTTGGTGCTGCTGCTGTTGTTGATGATGGCGTTGGTGTCGTTGGTGTGCCTATTGTTGGTGTTGTTGCTGGTGTTGTTGTTGGTGTTGTTGTTGTGTTGCTGTTGGTGGTGGTGATGGTGGTGATGTGCTTGGTGTTGGTGTTGCTGCTGCTGTTGATGATGGTGTTGGTGTCGTTGGTGTGTTTATTATTGGTGTTGTTGGTGGTGTTGTTGGTGTTGCGATTAGTGTTGCGAGTGGTGTTGGTGTTGTTGGGATTACGGTTGTCGGTATTGTTGCTACTGCTGTTGTAGTTGGTGCTTATGCTGGTGCTGGTGCTGCTGTTGTTGGTTGTTGTTGTCGCTTGTTGTTGTGGTTCCTGCTGTTGTTAATGATGGTGATGGTGATGGTGATGGTGATGGTGATGGTGATGGTGATGGTGTTGGTGTTGGTGTTGGTGTTGTTGTTGGTGTTGATGTTGTTGATGATGCTGTTGTTGAGATTGTTGTTGCTGTTGTTGTTGGTGGTGTTGTTCTTTGATGTGGTCGTCGTCCCCCCGCGACCCGCCTCGGGACCCACCCGCAACCCATACGCGACACACCCGCGACCCACCCGCGACCCACCGCGCGACCCGCCCGCGACCCATACGCGACCCACCCGCGACCCACCCCGCGACCCACTCCGCGAACTGGCCCGCGACCCACCCGCGACCCACCCGCGACCCACCCCGCGAACTGGCCCGCGACCCACCCGCGACTCACCCGCGACCCACCCCGCGACCCACCCACATTGCTTGAACGAAAAAAATCTGCGCCTGCGACGGGCTTCCTCAGAGCATCGCACACTGCCGACGTCCTCGCCGACCCCTTACTCTTATCCGCAACTGCGGGGTGCTACGGGTATCCAGTCCGCGAGTGCGATGGCGGGCCTGAGAGGTCAGCGGACCTCACCGGGGCCGAAGTCGCTCCAAGAGCGGGCGAAAGCCCGCCAAGAGCCCCCCAAGAGCGCGGGTCAAAGCGTGTCAGGCCCCATGCTGGCCCCAGATGGCCTCAAGATGGTTCAGAGATGGTGCCGACGTAACCCCAAGATGGCCTCAGATGGTCTAAGACAGACGCAAGGACTGCACAGACGGCCGAAGGGGGGCCGAAGAACCTCTCAAGAGGATTACAAAAAGCCCTCGGAGGGCCCACACCTCCCCTCCCATCCGAGAGAGCCGTAAGAGGGCTCCGAGAGAGCCCCCAGGGAGCCTAAGAGCCGCCCAACAGCGGGGGTCAGTGGGACGCAGGCCCCAAGATGACCCCAAGATAGCCCATAGAAGGCCAAAGATGACCCTCTGGTGGCCCAACATGGTCCAAGACAAACCCGAAGGAACACCCAAAGGCCCTACGAAGCTCCTGAGAGGCCCCCGAGAGGCACCAGAGAGGCTCCTGATAGCCTTCAGAGATCCCGAGGAATCTTACAAGATGGCCAGAATCACTAACAAAAGAATGAAGTTTCTATGACTTCGCCTTTTTTGCCTCTGCGGGCTCCAACAGGCTTCTCGGCCTCCGTGGTGCCCCAAGAGGGCCCCGGACGAGCCCCATAGGGGGCCCTGATACTCCTCAAGAGGGCCCTAAGATGGCTGCACCGGAGCCCAAAGAGCGCCCAAGAGCGGTCCAACAGCGGAGGCCACTGGGAGGCGGGCCCCGAGATGACCCCAAGATGGCCCCAAGAGGCCCCATGACGAATGACCTCAAGGTGGCCCAAGATGGTCCAAGGTAGCCTCCAAGGAACCTCCAAAAGGCACCACGAAGCCCCGGGGAGGCCCCTGAAATGCCCCTGATAGCCCCCAGGGTCACCCCGAAGTCCCCAAACGATGCCGGGATCCTCGACAGAAAATGCTAGCCAGCGTGGACTCCAAGCAGTGCGTGACTGCACTGTGGAGGTGAAGACTATGCGATGTAACCTGTGCGGTGAAAAAGGCTATGTCGTGTGAGCCGTGTGGTGTAAACTGAGGAGATCGAAGATGTGCGGTGCAAGCTGTGTTGCTCATGCTATGCTGTGTAAGCTGAGCGGTGAGAACTGGAGGTGGACGTGATGGGGTGCAAACTGTGTGATGCATGACATGTCGTGTAAATCCAGGCGGCGTGCGCTATGCTGCGCAAGCTGCGCGGTGTAGGCTATGCGTTGGAAGCCACGCCGCGTGCGCTCAAAGCATGGGGGCCGCCCACGGAACGCACGTGAGGGGCACGGGCGGCCACAGGCGGCAACGGGCGGCAACGGGCGGGAACATGGCGAATCCTCGACGCACCCACACTGGCGGGCGGCAACGGGCGGCGACGGGCGGCAACGGGCGGCGAGTCCTCGACGCACCCACCCATTCTTCGGCAAGACACGTCAGAACCCCCAAAGTGCAAGCACTGGTTGGGGAACTATATAGTTGTCATGCTTGTGGCCATCCTGTCTCCGCGTGCTCCGATGGGCTTCTCGGCCCGCGTGGTGGCCCCGGGAGGGCCCCAAGAAAGCCCCGAGAGGGCCCCAAGACGCTCCAAGATGGCCTCGCGAGGGCCCCAAGAGAGGCCCAAGAGAGGCCCAACGGCGAAGGCCAGTGGGAGGCAGTCTCCAATAGGGCCCAAACATTGCCCGACGAAGCTCCGTGATGGCCCCAGGGTGGCCAATGATGGTCCAAGGCAGTCCCCAAGAGCCCTACAAGGAGCCCCGAGAAGCCCCCGAGAGGCCCCCAAGAAAGCTGCGGGATGGCCCAGGGACCGCCCAAGAGGCCCTCGAGAGGGCTCCAAGAGAGCTCAAAGAGGGCACAGGAACGGCCCAAAACAGCGGGAGGCATGGGAGGCAGGCCCCACCAAGATGGTCCCAAGAGAGCCCGACGAGGCCTCCGGGTGACCTTAAGGTGGCCCAGGTGATGCCCATCATGGGCCCCCAAGGAACCCCTCTGACGCCTCCCAGAGGCTTCTAGTTGTCCACCAGGATGTTTCGACGGCCCACGAAGGGGTTCTAAAACAGGTCAGCTTGTGCCTTCGGGCTGCGATCGCGAAACGCGGGTGGGTTGCGCTCAGGGTTGCAATCAATGCACCGACCAGAATATTTTCCCACACGCGAGCTTCACACGACAGCTTGGGGCACCTCCATCACCACCCAACATCGACTTCCCAAAGACCACGAGCACACTGGTAAATGGGAAGCATTTTACAATACGGGCTGGAAGAATACGCGAATCGCTTAAATCATGATGCAACGAACGAACTCCTCGAACCGCTTCCCTCCTCCTACCCCCTCCTCCTACTACCCCTCCTCCTCGTCCGTTCACATCATTCCTCCTCCCTCCTCCTCCTCCTCCTCCTCCTCCTCCTCCTCATCCTCCGCCTCCTCCTCCTCCTCCTCATCATCATCATCATCATCATCACCATCATCTACATCAGCATCATCAGCATCATCATCATCATCATCATCATCAGCATCCGCATCATCATCAGCATCATCATCATCAGCATCATCATCACCCTCATCATAATCCTCATCATCATCCTTATCATCATCAGCACCATCAGCATCATCATCATTTACAACCTCATCATCAGCAGCAGCATCAGCATCAGCACCAGCATCACCAGCATCATCATCAGCATCATCATCATCACCAGCAGCAGCAGCACCATCCACCCCTTCCCCACTCCTTCCTCCACCTCCTTTTTCCCATCGCCCCTCCACCTCCACCCTCCTCCTCCTCCTCCCTCCTCCTCCTCCTCCTCCTCCTCCTCCTCCTCCTCCTCCTCCTCCTCCTCCTCCTCCCTCTTCCTCCTCCTCCTCCTCCTCCTCCTCCTCCTCCGCATCATCATCAGCACCAATAGCAGCAGCATCATCACCGCCACCACCACTATCATCTTCCGGATGACCCTAAACCTCCACATCCCCTCCTCCGACCCCGTTTGGCCCTCCTCTGCCTCCTGCCCTCCCCGTCCTCCTCCTCCGTCTCCTCCGTCTCCTCCTCCTCCTCCTCCCTCCTCCTCCTCCTCCTCCTCCTCCTCCTCCTCCTCCTCCTCCTCCTCCCCTTTTCTCCACCTCGACCACCCACCCGCCTGCCTCCTCCCCTCCTCCTCCTCCTCCTCCTCCTCCTCCTCCTCCTCCTCCTCCTCCTCCTCCTCCTCCTCCTCGGTCTGAAACCTGATCTGCTCCTCTGCGCTGCCAGGCTGGGCGTAGCTCCCTTTCTCCTGCCGAGAAGCGCCCAAGTCTGGCGCCGATCCCGGGCGCAGGCCGCCCGGCACAGCTGAAACCTGAGGCCCCAGGCTTGGGCCCACAGTGATTGCGGGAGCACGGGAGAGGGGCAGAGGGAGAGCAGAGAGGAAAGGGATAGGCGGGTTGAGGCGAGCCTGGAAATCTTCACACGCCCTCAAAAGGAGACGCCGAAAACCGCCTGGCTCCTCAATCGGCGATGTCCCGCATCTCACTAACTCTCACGAGTTTGTCCTTCTGCCTCTTCTCCGTCTTCCTCGAATCAATGGCGGTCTTGCGGCTAGCCCTCTGCATACTCTTCCTCATCTTGAGCGCCGCCGCCGCCGGGTCCTGCACTAGGCTCCACTTGGCCTCTCGCAGTACCTTGTACAGGTAGACCTTGTCCACCCCTAGCTTCGTCAGCACGTCAGCGATATTCTGCGAGCCGTCGATCCACCTGAGGTGGGTGTGCTCGCAGCGCAACACCTCCCTGAGCAAGGCGCCCTCGATCGCCATCCTCTTGTCCTTGCTCTTCGTCGGGCCCTCCTTCGTGAGGTGGTCGTAGACGGACTTCGCGCCCGTCGCCCAGAAGCGGGGAAACCGCTGCACCTCCCCCTGCCAATTGAGCAAGTCCACCGAGACATTCATCGCCTCTGAACAGCACCGCCGCCCAGTCGACGGCCTCCACTGCGTCTGCCAGGTGACTGGCCTCTGCCGCCAAGGTCGAGCGGCGCACTCGCTGAGTCATACCACTCTTCCAGTCCAGCACCGCCACTGGTGCTTGATGTCCGGCCAGGATGCCGCCGGTCGTGAGGAGCACCACGTGGCCGCCGCAGCTCTTGTAGCGCTCGATGTCGTCGTGCTCTGGGCCGATCGCGTGGCCCGCGTCCACGGCCGCGCCGACCCCCGCGTTGGACAGCCCCAGGTTGGCCGGATAGACCAACGCGACCTCGGCGCCCTTCTTGGCCTCGGACACCGCCAGGTTCGCCTTCACCAGGTCCGCCACACACGGGGCCGCTCGGGCCCTCTGCAGCTCGCCCGAGAGGAAGGCCAGGTCGAGTCGGCACTGTCGACCTAGCCAGCCGATCTCGCCGGAGACCCGCAGCAACTCCTTCGCCTCGTCCTCGTTCAGGTCCTCTTGCAACTGCTTCCTCCGGGCTGCTGGGATCTTGATCGGCTTGAGGGAAGTCGCGCAGTTCACCATCTTAGCCACAAAACCTCTCGGATCACTCGAGAGCTCCCGGCCGCGGAAGGTGAAGGGCAGCTCGCCCCACTTCCACTGGAACGTGCCCAGGTCCTTCGGCAGGAGGTCCGACAGCTGCATGTCCTTCATCCTCGCCATCAGCACGTCATCAACGTGCGAGACTGCGATGCCCTTCAGCTGCCCGTCCACGCGCTTGTAGAAGAGAGCCGGCTCCAGGCGTGACTGAAGCCAACCGTCGACCAGCAAGGCACCACGCAGCGCTAGCCAGAAGAGCCTCGCTGCCCGCGAAGCCTTAGATGGCCTTGCGGGCCCTCAACAGCTGGCCCGGGGCAAGGCCCGGCAGGCCCCCTCGGGGCTGCTCCAAGTAGACCTCGCGCTGCAAGTCCCGCCCATTGTAATAGGCGTTCTTGACGTCGCCCAGGGAGAGGATCACGCCCATGGCCGCCGCCAGCGCCAGGAGCAGCGCCTCCGCCAGCCACGAGGCAGCGGGAGCGCCCCGCCTGAACATGCCCAGCAAGCGGTCGCGAAAGCCCATCACGACCAGGCGGCTCTTCGCGAGCAGCGGCAGAGGGGCTCTGGCCCCATCGTACTTCCCGTCGATCTTGTCCGTGTCCACCCAGCGCATCGGGATGATGATGTTGGCCTTGTTCGAGCGAAGCGCCTCGCTCTCATCTGGCGGGACCGGCTCGGCTGCGTCGAAGTCCTGCCGCTTCGCGGCTGCCACCTCGATCCAGGAACATCCGGCGCTGCTCCTCCGGCAGGCTGCCGAGCTTGATCTCCTTCCTCCCAGGCTTCTTCGTCAGGATTTAAAGCGTGCTCGGAATCGTTCCGCATCAGCCCGAAGATGAACTCCTCCCTGCCGATGCTCTCCTGGACGAAGAAGACCTCGTCCTGCTGGTACGTCTCCAAGCCTGCCTCCGAGAACTCGCCCAGGTCGTTGTCCACCACGAACGCCGCCGAGTCCACGGGCGCCAGGGGGCTGGATCCTGCGGCCCCCCGTCGGATTGAGACAGGGACGTCATCCAGCAGGCGCCGACGCTTAGCCTCTCGCCCCCGGCGCTCTTCCGCCTCCTCTTCCTCCAGGAGGCTCCCTGGGCGCCAGTGCCGAGAGGCTCTCGGCTCGGGCTCCGAGTGCACCCCGTGGGTGTCTGGGCGGCAGCCCTCGTCATCGCCCCTCATGATCTCCTGCATCGCTGCATCGAACTCCGCCGCGTCGAAGTCCAGGTCGGGCGGCACTGGCACGTCCTCAGCCCTCACCGCTGGGGCTGGCGCCGCGGGCGGCCCAGGCGCGGCTGGCGCCGCGCGTGGAGCCTCCGGCTCGGGCGGAGCCGGGGAAGCCTCCGGCTCGGGCGGAGCCGGAGCGGGCTGCTGCTCCTCCGGCACCTCCGCCTGCGGCCCGACGTCCAGGCCGCTCTCATCGCCCTGCTCGGCGGGCTCCTGCCCCGCCGCTGCGGGGGGCTTGGACCAGCCTCGCAGGTCCACGAAGCCGCTGCCGCCGCTGACGGGCGTGTCGTGCGCCAGCTCCTGCTCCTGCGCAATCGATCTCTAGGCGTGGATATCGTGGCCCGTCGCTGCGGCCAGGTGCTCCGGGCTCGCAAGCACGGTGAGGCCACGGAAGGCGAGCCACACTCCATGCCGGCCCTCATGGCCGATCACACGCGCCAGCTCTCGCCAGTTGTCTGGATGCTCAGGCCGATGCTTGACCGGCTGCGCCTGGTCGTAGAAGAGCACCCACTGGCCCACAACGAACGGCCCCCTCGTCGGTCGTAGTTGTCGAAGCTCCGCTCGTCGAAGTCGATCCTCCGTGTCTGTCTGGGCGAAGGCCATCCTGCACTGGGTCCTGATCTCGACCTTGCGGGCGAAGCGCGAGCCTGGCGTAGCCGCTGCCACCTGCTCGCCCACGCGCTCCACCTCGGCGTCGTCCGCGAGGCTCGCCGGGAGGCGAACGTCCCGGCCGAGGACCCAGAGGTAGGGGCTGAAACCAGCCCGCCGGGCCAACGTGTTCTTGGCCCTGTTGCACTCCGTCACTGCCGTCCTCATCTCCACAAGGCCCGCCACCTGCTTGTCGTGCACCACCCTCGTGAGCATCGAGTTCCAGATGCCGTCGCGACGCTCCATCTTGCCGATGTGCCACGGCGAAGCCAGAGCGGCCGAGCCCAGGCGCACGCCCTCCTGCTCCAGGTAGTCCGCGAACTCGCCTAGGAAGGACCGCGCACGGCCCACCATGATCGCCTCCTCCGGCTGGCCAGCCCAGGAGACCCAGCAGAGCTCGTAAAACTTCCTGACCTCCGAGGCCTCGGGATTATTGTGAGTACCCTCCAGCAGGCAGACCACGTGGAAGTTCGCCCCCATGCACATGATGCCCAGGAACTCCCAGTTGTTGCCGGCGCTGTCGACGTTCTCGAAGCAGTCCATCGCGAGCAGCACGTTAAACTCGTTGACCCTCGGGAGCTGGCTCGGGCGCGGGATGCTGGGTCGCTGCACTCGCCGGCAGCTCTCGCAGACGAAGAGCCGCGCCGCCTTCAGCGCCAGCGCCGTCGCCTTGTCCAGGCGCAGCGCCCTGAGCAGCGCCGGCTGCGAGGGGTGCCCGAGATTCACGTGCGCCCTCTCGATCGCCCTCTTGACGGCCCTCGGCAGCAGCTCCCAGCGTCGCTTCCTCTCCCGCGAGGCGCCCCGCTGCTGCGCAGCAGCCAGCCCCCCAGGCAGGTCGCCACGCTCGTAGCCCGCGAAGTAGAAGACCACGACGTCGTTTTCGAGTAAGTGCCTCGGCAACCAGCGCCGCCGTGCCTGCAGGGACTGCTGCGACCAGTCCTCGAAGCCTTGCCTGAAGAGCTGGTCGCTCTTGAGCACGGTGACCATCCTGAGCGGGGCGTCCGCGGCGCGCAGCTGCGGCTGCACCGTCTGGAGCCGCTGGCCTCCGCGTCTAGCCTTCACCATCTTCAGCGGCTCGCTGATTACTCCTCCCAGCTCCTCCAGGAAGAGGTCCGAGCCCCAGATGATCGTCTCGATATCATCGCCCATCTTCTCCAGCAGCCTCCTGTGCCAGCTCCTGAACGCGTCCAGCTCAGCACGCAGCTCCACCGTCAACAGCTCGAACTCGCCGTGCTGCGTACGCCGTCCACGGCGGAAGCCCGGCGGGCGTCCGCCAGGAGGCACACCGCGCTCGCGGCGAGCAGGCGCTCGGCCGCGCCTGGGCCCAGCGGGCACCTCGGCCGGCGCCTCTGGGGCCTCCGCCGCCGCCTCAGCAGGCGGCGCGTCCTCTCCGAGAGGCGGGCCCTCCTGGTGTTCCTCCTCTGGCGCAGGCTCTCCCCGCGGCGGTCTCCGCGATCGCGAGCGCTCGCGGGGGAAAGCATCCTCCACCGGGAAGGCCGCATCCATGACCAGCGAGCTGCGGTAGTCGATCTGCATATGCTGGAACACGCCGCGACAGAAGGCCTTCGCGAGGCCCACGGGGTAGGCCGCCGCCTGCTGCGCCCAGTAGCCACCCGAGTCCTTCCCGAGCAACTGCTGGTGGGCGCCGGGCGGACATGCACAGCGCTTGCTCAGGTGGTTCGCCACCGCCGCGCTGTTCGTGAGCCACCCCGTCGGCTTCTTGATCGGCGTGCCCGTGTCCTTGTCGCAGGCTCCGCAGGCACATTGATCTCCACGCACAAACACAACACCTTCCAGATCCCACAAACGCATCAAGATGCCATCATACTCCCAAGAAAGTGCTGTCAACGGCTGCTCTATCAAGAAATACCGTCCTCTCGCATGCACACATCAAGATACCCGCCAAACAAGCAAAAGATAACGACGAGCATTCCTGCGGACTTCATCCCAGTCGATGAGCTTGTTCACGTTGGTCATCAGAGACCACGGATGACAGGGGAAAGCCAACACTGTGATGTAATGCCAGTGCAGGTCGAGGATCCGGTAGAGCAAGGCCCGCCCAGGGCCCTTGAGCAGGTCGTGGCCGGGGGAGTGGTCCACATCCGACGGCTGAGACTGCATCCAACCGCACTCCTTCGCACCGTAGCGCGTCAGGATGTGCTCGCCACCGAACGGCTCAAACACCACCGTCGTCTGGAAGTCGGCTGTCACGAAACGCTCCGCCTCGAACCTCGGTCGAAGTAGCTCTCCACGTAGGCGTCGATCCTGTCCACGAAGCTCCCGCCAGGTGGACTCGAGCCTCTTCCGAGTCGCCTTGGAGAGGACCCCTGTCGCATCGGTGGCCAGCACGCCGCGATCCTTCGACAGGAAGGCGTGGCCAACCTCCTCATTGACCTGGATCTCCTCGCCGTCGGACTCCTCGAAGGCCGACTCCTTCAGCGCCTGCGCGAAGAAGAACTCCGAGTCCCGGTTATCCGAGGCCGCCGTCGCTGGCCCCGAACTCGAAGTCACTGCCGATCGGTGACCTTCATCACCCCAATCATCGAGCCGAACTGCCAAGTGACAGCCCACCTTGAGCAGCTCCACGCCCGCCGCGAGCGTCTGCAGCTCCATCCGCATCTCCTTCAGGTGGAGCACGGCACCCAGAGCCTCCTGCGACGCCAGGCTGACCAGGAGCGGGGTGTCGCAGCCCCCCATCCCCACGCTGAAGATCACCCCGTGGCGGCCGCCGAGGGCGACCGGGATCTCGACCACGCGCCCCTTCCTGCCTCTTGCCGAAGGCCGAGGAGAAGCTCCTCCAGCGGTCCGTCATCTTGATATCCAGGCCACGGGGGTGCAAGCACCTCTTCTCGAACAACTCCCGCCAGCGCTTGCCGTGCATGCATCTCGCGCAACCGGCGTCGATGAGCGCCACTGCTACGTCAGACGAGTCACTGTCTTCACTCACCATAAGCACCATCTCCAAAGATCCTTCCCCGGGCACTGGGCGCCCACGGCACCCGTGAGGGGCCCCTCTGGGCCCCGGAGTGGAGGGTGCTCAGGCCGAAGACGGCGGCGGCCGCGCCTCGCGCAGCCGCTGCTCGCCCTCGTTGTAGTTCAGCGTGCCCTTGCAGTCCGGGAACTGCCTGCATCCGAAGAACCAGCCGCCTGTCCGATGGTTCTGACAAGCCACCAGAGCCTTGGAGCACTTCGGGCACGGCAGCACCTCGTCGTCCTTCACCGTCGGAGGGGCCGCGCTGAAGCTGTCGCTGACCACACTCGCGCTGTCGCCGACGACGCTGCCCACGAGCTCGAAGGAGCCGAGGTCGGAGCCACGGTCCGAGCTGACCAGGAAGGCAGAGTCATACTCCACATCGTCCAGCACGAAGAGGGTCGCACCCCTCCGCTTCTTGGCGCTGGTGCTGCTTGGTGGGCGCGGGCTGCTGCCTGAGGCCGATGAGCTGCTCCAGGCCGGGCGCGAGAGCGCCGCTGCCCGCCCGCGAGGGTCTGCTCGGCTCTTCGGCTTCGCTGACGGCTTCGGCTTCTTCGGACCCATGGGGCACTCCGGGCCCCCGGCCCAGTGGCCGAGCTTGCCGCACGCCCCGCAGTGCGCGCGCTGCTTGTCCTTCGCGATATCCGCCTTGCGCCCCTCGAAGGTCAAGGCACCCTAGGCCCTGAAGAAGCCACGCTTCCTCTGGAGGTCCCGGACCTTGGCCCGGGCGGTGTCGTAGGCGGCGCACGCAGCGTTGATCGCCTCGTCCTGGCTCGCGCCCGAGTCGCTGGCGAAGTCGTCCTCCGCGTCGCCGTCCTCGTAGGCCTCGCAGACCTCGTCGTCGTAGTCCTCGTACTGCTCCTCCTCCTCGTCGTCGACGTCGTCCGTCTCGGTGTAGCACGCCCTCGGCTGCCTCTTGGACTTGCCCCTGCCCTTGCCTCCGCCTTTCGGGCGCCCAGCTGGGTGAGGCGGCGGCGGCCGAGGGGACTTCTCCTGCAGGTGGAGGTCGTGGCAGTTCGTCTTCAACGTGTTATCGAAAGCCTTCGTCTCGTACTTGTTGTCTGCCACCATCGTGACCAACCGCTTCTGGTCGTCCGTCAGCATCGCCCCCTCGATGAGGCAGTACACGTAGAGGTCGTCGCTGAGCTTCGTCCCGGCGTCGAGCTCCGTCAGCTCTTTGCACTTGTTGTGGAAGGTCCTCAAGTACTCCACGATCTCTTGGCCGCGCTTGCGGCGTGACTTCTTGAAGAAGTCGTCGAACTTCTGCTGCATGCGCACCACTGCCACTTTGCCCAGACCGTAGAGAGCCTCGATGATCTTCTGGTGCGAGCCTTCCTGTGTGAGCGCCGTCATGTCATCCAGGAGAGACTCCACCGCCTCCCACGCTCGGCCTGTGATGCCTCGCGTCAGGCGCAAGCCCAAGTTCGCTCGCTTCTCCCTGCCGGTGCTCGACTGCGTGCTGGGCTCTATCATCACTCTCATTCGATATTCTCGTAGAAGAGCTATGTTCTCTCCGTCCCAGTGCGGGATGCCCTCTTTGTCGACAAAGAGCTCCTCTGCGCACTCGTCTGTCATTCGTGCCATCCTTGCCGCCGTAGATCGAAAACCTTGCTCCGCGACCAGTCTGGAACCTGATCTGCTCCTCTGCGCTGCCAGGCTGGGCGCAGCTCCCTTTTCTCCTGCCGAGAAGCGCCCAAGTCTGGCGCCGATCCCGGGCGCAGGCCGCCCGGCACAACTGAAACCTGGGGCCCCAGGCTTGGGCCCACAGTGGTTGCGGGGGCACGGGAGAGGGGCAGAGGGAGAGCAGAAAGGAAAGGGATAGGCGGGTTGAGGCGAGCCTGGAAATCTTCACACTCGGACCTCCAAGAATTTACGCTGGCCTTGTTCCGCCTCAAGGCGCAGGAAACGGCCAGGCAGGCCTCGGGCATTTCCGCATTGGGCCGCTTGGTCAGGCCTGGTCGCCGCAGCTAGGCGGAGCCCGTCTTCTGCACGCTCCCGCTGAGCTGCTGCATGCTCACGCTGAGCTCGGCATGAACCTCCATCACAAGCGGACTTAGCGAGGCCTGCTTTGCGGCACGCATTGGTGCCAGGCCCGCCTCTGCCAGGAGGGGGAGGGGCTGGGGCTGTCTGACCTCTGCCAGTGCTGTCGCGGCTCACCTGGCACCTTGCACCTTCGATTTTTCCAGTTCCCAGCGAACCATGCCTGGAGGGCAGACAATCTGGACACCGCGGTGCGCGATGCTGTTGCTCGGGTGTCGTTGGAGGGCGGAAAGGAGTCTGGGGAACGTTTTTGCACGAGATTGTCTGACCCTGCCCACTGCTTTCGGCGACCGCCGCGGCCACCTGGCGCCGAGAGCGCTGGCCGTCGACTGGCCTCACGCTGAACGGCGGGCACGTTTTCACCGAGGGAACGCGCTTCGACGTAAAATTTCTCACCTTGAGGGTGGCTGGCTGGGCAGTGGATGCCTACGACGCCCATGTTCGTATATTGGGCTCGCTGCGCGGGAGGGTGCCCCGAAACCTCTGCCCGTCCCAGTCCGCCAGGGACGAAGAATATTATGATGTGCTGATGGCGTCAAGGCACGCCGCTGGCCGCTGCACGCTGCATTCCGACTGCGCTGCCACCGTCGCCGGCTGGCAAGGCCTGGCGAGCTCCAGCGGGCCAGGCCAGCCCCACGCCCACCTATGCCGCCGGGCGGCTGCCAGCGACGCGCTCGAAGACGTGAACTTCTGCAAGGTCTTCGACCACGCGACGTGGCAAGGCGTCATCGAGGGTTGAATCACGGCCTGGCAGCGCGACGGGAGTCACGCGGCCGACGCCATAGCGAAGGCTGGGGCGGCCGAGGGCCCTTTAGCCGAAAATGACTTTGCATTCATTTTCGGTTGCCTCCATCTTGCGCGGCCCCTCGCGGGCACACCGGGCGCATGGAGGCCATGCTGACTGAAGCCGGCATTCGCGACCATCAGGACCTGGAGGCTCTCCGCACTATTCATCTCGAGGTGGAGGGTTGGTCGAGGTCGGAGGGCGAGGGTGGGGGTGTTCGGGGAGAATCGCACGCCGAGCCTGCGGTCGCGGGTTCGGCCCTAGGGGCGAACGCGAGCGCGGCTGGCCATCTGGGTTCGGAGCCCGAGGCGAGCGCAGACGCCTGGCGCGTGCGCGAGCAAAGCTCCTTGCTGGTCTGATTAGCGAGTGGCGTTGCCCAGTGGGTGGACCCCGGGGCGCATCCTCTTCAATGTTAGTCTGCACGACTTGGTGGAGTCACGCCACGTGCCCTGGTCGGGGCCATGGGCTCTTAGCGCCCTTTCCGCACAAGGATGGTGAGCCACCCCCGAGGGCGAAGAACTCACGCAACCGCGCCAGCTGTGGGATGCACCCCCACTGGGCATGGGATACGGCCATCGACGAGGCATGCAGCCCGTCTAAGGCGGTACGAGCGTCCTGGGCCATCCATTTCGACTTGGAAGGGGCGGAAGGGGTACGTGCTGCCCGCATGGCCGAGCCTCCTCTAGGCCCTCCTGTCCAATGGGCCGCGACGTGCCCAAGAGTGGCACTGTGCGATGCCTTACTGGCATGTGGATCTAGCACGCGCGGCCAGGCTAAGCAGCTTGGCGCGAGGCGCAGCGTCTGACCGCGGAGCGGGCCAGCCGGCTCGCCGCCGCGAGTGCCAACCAGAAGAGGTATAATTGTCGTGGACCTCCCTCTTCTCCTTCTGCTTCTGGAGTTGAGGGAAGAGTACCGTCTCAGCTCCACAAGGGCTGTCTGTGGAGCGCGCTCACGCTCCCGCGGCCTCGGAGCGCCTTCCTCCTCCTCCTCCTCCTCCTCCTCCTCCTCCTCGTCCTCGTCCTCATCCTCCTCCTACTCATCTTCCTCCTCCTCCTCCTCCTCTTCCTCTTCCTCCTCGTTCTCCTCCTCCATCTCTTCCTTACCCGACCACCTTCCTATTCCTCCATTCCTCTTCTTTATGAATAAATCCCACCTGTCGCACCCGGGGGCCTGTCAAAAAGGCGGGCTGGGCAGTTCATCTGAAAATTCCCTACCAACTATGAGCCTCAAGCTTAAGAACGGGCAACAGATTCACAGATGGAGGTCGGGTCGCTTCCAAAATGTGGCTCTCGCCATGGCGCCGCGCACATTCGTTTCAACAACTTGCGAAAGTTCCACGGATTGAAGACAAATCGTGTTCAAAATGCGGCTCTCGCCCTAGCGCCGCGAACATTCACTGTAAAATTGTACAACAAGCTCCACGGATTGAGGGCGGTTCGTTTTCAAATTTTGGCTCTCGCCTTAGCGCCGCGCACATTCGTCTCAACAACTTGCGAAAGTTCCACGGATCGAAGGCGGTTCGTTTTCAACTGTTGGCTCTCGCATTAGCGCCGCAAACATTCGTTTTAAGACTTCGCTAGAGTTTCACGGATTGAAGGCGATTCCTTTTCAACATGAGGCTCTCGTCTTAGCGCCGCGCACATTCATTCTAAAAGTGCATAAAAATTTCACTGGTTCCATGGGAGCCAGAAACGGTGCTTGGGAACGATTCGGGACTGCCAGGGCGCAACAAGTACGTTGATTCACTGTGTTGAATTCCAGGAATGGCGTTCGGGCACGACTCAGGATCTTCCAGGCGCAAAACTCAGGTTCTCTCGTGACATTGAAGGCCTTGGAATGGTCTTTTTGGTACGCTTCAGGATTCTCATACGTTGTCTCCAAACGGAGCACTTCCCTCAGTGGAAAGGAACCCTTGTGAGGCCCTACGAAGAGGGAGCTTGGAGAGAGGGTAGATTCCAACATCGTTGTAGAATCTCGGGTTTACACTTGTCCTCCTCCTCTCTCCTACTTCTCCTGCTCCCCCTCCTCCTCCTCCTCCTCCGCCTCCTCCTCCTTCTCCTCCTCATTCTCATCCTCCTCTTCCTATTCCTCTTCCTCTTCCTCTTCCTCCTCCTCCTCCTCCTGCTCCTCCTCCTCCACCTCCTCCGACTCCTCCTCCTCCTCCTCCTCCTCCTCCTCCTCCTCCTCCTCCTCCTCCTCCTCCTCCTCCTCCTCCTCCTCCTCCTCCTCCCCCCTGCTCCTCCCTCCTCCTCCTCCTCCTCCTCCTCCTCCTCCTCCTTCCTCCTCCTCCTCCTCCTCCTCCTCCCTCTCCTCCTCCTCCTCCTCCTCATCCTCCTCCTCCTCCTCCTCCTCCTCCTCCTCTTCCTCCTCCTCTTCCTCCTCCTCCTCCTCCTCATCATCATCCTCATCCTCATCCTCATCCTCCTCCTCCTCCTCCTCCTCCTCCTCCTCCTCCTCCTCACCCGGACGATCCCCCTTTTAAAGGTGCGGCACGCAGGGCACTGCAGCGGCGCACGGGCGCGGCCCGCGGGCGCCGACGGCGGCCAGGGCAGCGACCTGCCCGCCCTCCCAAGAGGAGAAGGAGCTCGACGAAAGCCCAGGAAGAGCACATACAAACGAGCACGAAGCGAGGAGGGAGAAAATCGGAAGAGGGCAGGAGAGAAGGGAGGGAGGAGATGGATGGATGGGGGGAGAGGAAGGGGAAGGGGACGCGAAGGGCCATGGAGAGGGGGAGCAGCGCGCGTTACGACAGCTGCTCAGGCCATCCGGGCACGATGCCTTGTGGAAAGAACGCCCCTGCAATACACGCGCCGGATGCACGGCAATCTACTGGCCTACAATTATACGTGAGGAACAGAAGGCGTGATGGTGCAATGTTGGTGAACTCCTCGCGTCGATTCAAGCCAACGGACATGCCACAATCGGCGTGAGGCAGCCGAGCACAACAAGGGGCTACGTCCCCCCAAGGCCTGTGAAAGTGGGCCGCCAGCCAAACAAAATTGCAAGACTTATGAGCGGGGTGAAACGAGGAGGAGACCTCACGCAAGGATCTGCACCTGGCTACAGCAGGTTCGTATCGTGACGACGCCGGCGCTGGTTTCTGTTACCGCGCAGATCGCTCAGCCTTGAGCGATCTCGGCCTTCCAATGGCGCAGATCGTTCGATATCGGCAGATGTCAGAGCGCCCGCGCCGGGGTTGCCGCAGCGTCGGCACGGCGCGGACGCTACCACGTACCCCCACCAGCGCGGCCGCAACGGGGCAGGCGGCTCGAGAGCAACGCCCATGCCAAAGACGGCCCCCCATCGGCGGGCGGAGCTAGCGCGTCGGGGACGTGCTGCCAGGAGGGCGGAAGCATCCGCCTCCACCAGAGCCGCCTCCTGTGTGGGGGGGGGGCGGGCGGGGGGCGACTGGGCCGAGAAGCCAGCTCCGCCCAGCGCCTGTTTCCCTCTGGGCAGAGGGGCAAGATTCCCCGGCCGTGCCCGAGTTCAAGATGGCAGCGGAGAGCAGGAGAAGGGAGGAGAGAAACGGGCGCTCCTCCTCCTCCTCCTCCTCCTCCTCCTCCTCCTCCTCCTCCTCCTCCTCCTGCGCCTGCGCCTGCGCCTGCGCCTCCGCCTCCGCCTCCGCCTCCGCCTCCGCCTCCGCCTCCGCCTCCGCCTCCGCCTCCGCCTCCGCCTCCTCCTCCTCCTCCTCCTCCTCCTCCTCCTCCTCTTCCTCCTTCTCCTCCTCCTCCTCCGCCTCCGCCGCCGCGCCGCCGCCGCG